TCTCTGTCTCTGTCTCTGTCTCTGTCTCTGTCTCTGTCTCTGTCTCTGTCTCTGTCTCTCTCTCTCTCTCTCTCTCTCTCTCTCTCTCTCTCTCTCTCGTTCGTTCCACCCCTCCTCTCTCTTTCTCTCTCTCTGTATGCTTCATGTATGAGTCTGTGTCGCTATTAGTATTAGATTGTTTATAAATGTTTTTTTAAAAAATCTTTGTCATTTGAAGTGGCAAAGTTTCATATCCTACTTTGCACAACTGAAGGGATTTTAAAATACGAAACATTTGGTTATCTACCAGCTAGCTGTATTGAGAAGAAAACATCATAGAAAGGATGAGAACATGTCGACCCTGCACAGACTCAAACCCCAGCCTTCGGCGTATCAATAAAGTTCCCAAAGAAACTGGGCAACAGTTGCTTGCCATGTTTGCCCCCCCCCCCCCGCTTCTACATACACACTCTTTCGGTTTTATTACTTCTGCTTGATAAAACCTAGGTGAATATGTCTTCGGCACAGGGGCGTACTATAACCTCTAGTAGCTTCTCATAGGGTTCACTCATTGAGGACCGCTGTTTTGGGGTACAAAAAAGATATAGATCTATAACTTCCTTATTCATACAGAATTATAAATTCTGTTTTCTTCTCCTTCTAAATCGTAACAGATGCAGGCAATAACATGGATACTGTGAAGTATGCAAATTCCTGTTTCTGATTTGTGTATGATGGTTGGAAATGTGCTGTAACATTGGCTTTGGTCTGCTTCTGATTGGACATATTATTTGTCCTACAAAACCTCACAACGATTTGGATTTAACCTACAGAATAGTTAAAAACACAACCAAAGCCTGTCTACCATTCATTCAGCATTTAGTCAGAGTCAACACGAAGAGGCAATTTGAGCATTGTAACACAAATGTCCCAAACAAAAGACATAATTATTTTGACTTCAGAATTTACAAACTTTGAATTCCAAAACAGTTTGATACCACGCAAGCACTGGCAATCTAATTTACATTTATTTATTCCCCTTACAATCTTAAGAATTTCTCACCTTCGAATTTTCCCATATCTGTTACATCAAAAGCTGTGAATTTGACATTTTGCTCCCCAAAACGTTTTTGGAAATCTTCTAAAGTTTCAGCTCCAGCCTTAGGGTCCACATCGCAGAGGAAAATCTGATGAAATAACGCGTGGAGCAAAATACAATCGACGGTCTGCTCAGAACTAACTACACAATATGCATAGATGTACCATGTCAGAGCAACAACGGGTGTAAACGAAGGCCAGTTCCTCTTTTCCTCTCAGTCACATCAGAGGAATCATAATAAGCTTGAAGCCATCATCTTCTATTGCCACAAAAATAACGGCAAACAAATTGCAAAAAATAGACCAAAAAATCTAAAGAACATTTAACTAACGGGCAACCACTAACAAAGCCCACACCAGATAGAACATTATTCTAATACTTTTATCTAAAAAAGTAACAACGTTGTCAATACATTTTATTTCAAAGCAATGACCAACAACTGCAAATAGATGGGAAAACAAAACGAAAAGAAAAACAACCGCAGAGAATGACTCACCTTCGCTCCTTTGGCCAGCAACGTCTCAGCATACGCTTTGCCTAACCCATGAGCCCCTCCAGTGATGAAGAAAACCTTTCCGGACACATCCATTTTAAATCAACTCGATACAGCACTAGACCAAGCTGAAAAGTAAAAAGCCACAGTGTAAGAAACATAATATACCGTTTTATACCCTCTATACGTAACTAATTACAGATGCAAAAACACCCACAACTAAACAAAATGTTTACAAGGCCATGTGAAATAAAAAACACCAGCTCGTTGATAAGTCAGTGTGTAAGCTGTGTTAGAATTCTGCACATTAGGATCTGAGGGTCTAGTTCTTGTTTTTGAGGTAAACGACTTTTTTCTGGCTCATGGTTTTTTTTTTCGTTTCAGTGTATTATGCTTCACTTTGGATACGGGGTCAAGAATAAAAGAGAGAGAGAAGGAGAGGGAGAGATGGAGAAGGAGAGGGAGAGAAGGAGAGGGAGAGAAGGAGAGGGAGAGATGGAGAAAGAGGGAGAGATGGAGAAAGAAAGAGAGAGAGAGAGA